CCTCCTTCCTGCAACAGGCTTCCCTCATAAGTTTCCAGCTGTGCGTGGCTCCAGTACTGGCCAGCAGTACATGATTCCTTCTGTGGACAGCTTCCCCTGCCAATCCACCAGGTGACCTTGCAGGTTCTGTCTGTTTCTGCAGTTTCAGTAAGACCTGGCAATGCCCTCTCCCGAATGGCCAAGATCTAAGCCCCGAGAGGGTATGCTATGTCAGCCACAGGAGTAGACTGACTGCACCTAACTGAATAGCAAAGACACACATGTGTGCAGTTACACTATACATGGTCAAGAAGAGAGTAATCAGGGAATTAAGACTTCCAGACCTCAAACACAGAACTGAGCATTGTTGAACTGAGCAGACTCAGAATGATAAGGCCTCATTGCTCACAGGCGGCACTGGGATGCGACTCCAAAAGAGTTGCCGTGGCAATGGTGCTAGCTGCCCAGGAGGTAAGGCTAATGCAGACCAGGTTTATGCCCCAAAGGATCAAAGTTAATTGCAGGTAACTGAACTGCCAACCAGACAAAGTACAACACACCTTAAAATTTAAGGGGAAAAAAAAGTCTAGACCCTTAACTAGCTTGTTCAGAATTCAATAAAAATTATACAGGACGTGAAACAGGAAGATGTGACTTTTATAGAGAAAAAAATTAGTCAAAAGACAGAGGCCCAGCAATGATGGAATTACCAGGCCAGGACGACACATAGCTGTTATGAGACTGTTCCAGCACTGAAGGGAAGACCCATGGATACAGGGTAAGGAAAGCAATAGGATGTTCACGAAAGAACCAAATAAAACTCAGAGATGCAAAGTGCCCGAAACTGAAATAGATGAGACAGGATTCATAGCATTGCAGACTGCACTCTTAGAAAGCAATAAATAACAGAAGAAACGGTGGTCCACGACTCCCAGAAACACACATGAAAGAAAAGCAAGCCATGATACATTCACCATCTCACATCTGACACCAGGGAGAAAAAGACAGAATCAAGCAAAGTCAGGGAAAAGGTACATTATGTCCACAGGAGTAAAAATTCAAAATAGCATAGACTTCTCAGACAGTGTGCATGCTAAATAAATAAATAAATAAATCATGAAAATTCTTAAAGGGGGAAAAAAAGAAAATCAACTTAGAATCTTAAGCCCAGGAAAAAAATATGATTCAGAACAATTCTGTAATAAGGATATTTTATTGCAAATATGTTGACAGAACTTGTCATGCACTGAGTGGGAATTAAGACAATGTGGTTAAAAAATAGTGAGCGATTGATCTACTTTTGTTGGAGAATAAGGAAACTGAAACAATCTACTGGAAGAAAAATGAGGCTAGAAACTTAAAAGGCATTTTAGGTCTGAAAGACAACACTTACCTTTGAAAACATCCGAGACACACAACCTAAAAGGTTTGTCAATGGATCGTTGAGGAGGCTTGAAGGAATCTGCAGGAGGAAAAAATCAAATTTACCATGTAATTTTTGACTGCCTCAGGATGCCATTATTATTCCACTTCTTTGAGAAAAAAAATACTTTTTATAAATACTAGCTAGTAACAAGCTGTCATTTATACAATACTTCACAATTTACTAAATGTTTTCACTGTTTCTCATTTAATTTCAACAGACGTCTCGTTAGTTTGTTGCCATGTGTCACTGAATCCATTCTAATTCACTGTGACTTTACAGAAGGCTGCGTGCTTCCTTTATAGGAGCAGAATAGCAGCTCTCTTCTCCCCTGCAGCTGCTGGTCACTTGGAAACATTAGTCATTTTGTCACCAGACAGGCCATGGCCTGATTAAATAAATGAATAAAGCCGAATATCAGATCGTTTAAATATAATGTCTGATTTCAAGGCTAATAAACCCAGCTTCTTATGCTTTCTCATATACATTCCCATGTTCTAAAAAGAACTGCATACTTTATGCCAACTAATATTGCATTAAAATTAACATGGTAGAATTACTTACCAATTTGTTCTAACAGGCACAGTCCTTTATACCATTGCATGAGTTCACCTGATTGAGATCTCCTAATGAGGTTTTCACCACTCAGACCACTTGTAGGTATAAATGCTACATCACTCTCCTATTGGAAACAGATTAAAAGTATGAAATGTAATACAACTTAAAAGGAGAAAAGCAGTTAAGATGTTTACCATGACCACAACTGCATCAAGTGATTCCATAATACGCTTCTTAAAAAATAGAACTATTACCCTAAAAGTTATCTAATGTAACAGTTTGCAATTATTGATTTTGTGAGACAGTTTCAAATTTGCTCAAAAGGACTCAAGCATTTTCAATTTATGAGAGAGACATAGTTCATGGTTTTTTGCTGGGAGGAATTCCACTTTCATCTGTAACTTGGTTGAAACTGTACCACCAATTTAATAGGTAGGAAAAAAATCCCTTAAGTTCTATTAAATCCAAGTCAACTTAGACAATTTTCTAAGGTAAGGTAATCCAAATCAAACAATATCTACTGCATGGGGTCAAAGAGAAATTTTAAACAAAGAAGAGACAACACTTTTAGGGTACTCATTTGTTTCTCTCTGTTGACAGGCCGTCAAGGAGTTCATGGGAAAATGGAAAAAAAGATAGTGGAATTTTTTCACAAACTTGTTGAAGGCCCTTCATGTGTAGGGTGACACTGAAGAAAGCAATAATCCAATTTAAAATCTTACCTTAAAACCCGCTTGCTTTAGAAAATGCCCAAGCTTTCCAGTAATCTCTTGAAACCTTTCTTGTTGCCAATTAACCTGAGAAAGAACCAATTTGTTCTCTTAAACTTTGCTTCGAAATATACTACACACAAAATTTACATTTCTGCAACAAAACATAAAGTATCAAAACTATGTAAAATAAAAAATGAAACTAACAAGCATGGATATTTATTGAAATTACAACTCAGAAAATCAATCTTAATACATGATATGACGTAATGGTACACTTTGTTACAGCAGAAGGCCTAAACACAGACTCCCCTACGTACGGAAAACGGCCTTCTGCTGTAGCAAAGTGTACTATTACATCATATCATTTATTAACTAAGTGACTTCAAGTTTGTCAGTGGGGAAAAGACAAATAATTTTACTAAATTGTGCTTGGATGTACTGTTAGAATAAAGTTATTAGAATTGCCACGCTCAAAAAAAAGCGCAGACTAAACATGTACTTTAGATAATAAGTTGCGTGCTGCAGTATTTGATGAGAAGGGTAAAAATGTTTGCAGCCACTTCTGAAATGCATCCCAGTAAGATGGAGCTACAGAAAGATCAAAGGGATAGACAGAGAAGTAAACAGGTCAGTAACCAAGTAAAATATCATGAGTAAAACTGACATGGTGAGTTTAAATGGACCTTTACTAAAATAGCCTTTATTGTGCTTAAAAATATCTATACTAAAATGTTTTGGGAAAGCTGAAAGAAGTGTGTAAAATAATATAAATGAATAGCAAATGTAAGTGAATATTTATATGGTCCAGGACAAGAAAATTACTAAGTATAATAAAAGAAATCACAAAGGAAATATTGTAATGTTGAATACATATGAAAAACAAATAAAATTAAAAGTCAAATAGCTGAGAAAATGATTCCTAAAAAAAAAAATCTTTAATAAAGCACACCTCCAAATTCTTTCAAAAGCTACAAAACTGTGATTATAGAATTTCCACAGAAGAAATACAAATGGTTAGTAAATATAAATGATATTAAATCTGATTATGAAATAGTGATTTAAAATGCTTCATATCAAATTAGAAAATGCATTTTCAATGATACCAGTGTTGACAAGAGTTTGATAAAGTTGATAAACTCTAAGTGCCAAAAGTAAAACTATAAAACTTTTGTCAAAGGCATTTTTACAGTGTTCAACCAATTTTAAAATGCGTATGTACCGGTGCTTTATTAAAGAGATGCACTGGACTGCTCAATCACAAAGTCAGAAGTTCAAAACTACCAGCTGCGCGGAGGGAGAAAGGTGAGCCCCTCTGCTCCGTCAGAGGCTCACGGTCTTGGGAACCCACAGGGCAGTTGTTTTCCCAGAGTCGCTGTGAGTCAGACTGACTCAGTGCCATTGTATGTGGTTTTGAGTTTTGACGCAAGAAATTTCCATAAAATAAGCCACTTCTACACACACACACACACACACACACACGCACGCATGTATGCACACATACATGAAATAACTAGAAATGTTCAAACGCAGAAGATGACTGACCAAAATATAACCACAAAAAAATCTTATTAATTACGTGGAACCATTTACAATAATATAGTTGTTTTGTTTTGTTTTTTAAGTAGGGAACAAAATAGATATTAATCTAAAGTAGAAAATATTTTTATGTACAAACTAGAACATACAAAATAAAATGGCAAAAATTTTTTTGAGAGGAGCTGGAAATATACATTTCTAGTAGTTTCATTGTACTACAAAAACATGCGGTATCCTACAATTAATTCTAATGTTTTATTTTTTCATTTTTGACAATGAAAAGCCATCTTCTTGCTTAAAAATTACTAATATCTTAATATCAGGATCATTATTTTTTTAATATAGCAATTAGACTAATAAAATGTACAGTACTCACATCTGGCAGAGAAACATCTAAAATAGCATCTCACAAAGCCTTTAACTACCTGATCCATTTTATTGATTGCGACTGCAAGTTGAGTCACTCCCAGAGAACGGACCAGGAGCCCATGCTCTCGAGTTTGTCCTCCAGTCTCAAAGCCGGCCTCGAACTCTCCCCGGCTGGCATCCACAACTAACACAGCCACATCTGCCTACAGAAGGAAAAATCATCACAACTAGAAATAATTAAAATAGATTAGTCATTCTATCAGACTGGTTATAGATTTTCAAAGCAGCCCCCAACCAGACACCAGACGCCAAAAACAAGTCAAACAAGAGAACTCCACAAATGGATTATAATTAAAAATAAAAAGTACTAATGTAACCATTCATTGATCAAGTTGTCAAGCTATGATGTCTTCTTGCATGTTGCTGTGATGCTGGAAGTTATGCCACAGATACGGCAAATCCCTGAGACACCCAGGGAGGCAGGGTTCAGGGGTTCGTTGCAGACGAAGATAGACGAGGCAGAAAGCAGACCCAACGACCTACCCCTGAAATAACTGCCAGTGAATACTTCTCAGTGACCGCGGAGCACTGTCTAATACAGTGCTGGAAGACAAGGACTAGCTGAAGAGGACCTGACACACTGATGAAGATCAAAGGCTGCATGTAAAGTGTGAATTACAACTCAATGCAAGGAAAACCACACGTTTCACACAATGAACAACATCATGGTAAGTGGAGGATACATTGAGGTTGTCATGAATTTCATTTACTTGGATCCAATCAACACTCTTTGAAAGAACAGCCAGTCGAGCGATCAAATGATATATAGCATTGGGAAAATCTGATGCACAAAATCTCTTTAAAGTGTTAAAAAGCAAAGATAGCAATTTGAGGACTAAGGTGCACCTGTGGTGGAATGAAGTTTCTTAATATGGTTCTTCTACCTAAGTCTTTGTAGGCTCCACTAAATGACTGGGAGGTATTATGCAAATAGAGCATCCCCACTTATAGAGGGGAATTGGTCAGTAACGTTACCACCCACCTGGCTAGAAGGATGAGTCATCATTGAAGCTGCAGCAGAGACAGAGAGACAGAAGCCCAGGGGACCTGAAAGAGCCCGGTCAGGATCTCTGTCTGAAGCGGCAGAGGTTGCAGAGACCAGAGGCATCTCAGACTGTGGCACAGAAACTCAGAGGAGCAGCACTGAGGCTAATGGGTACCTTTTCCTTATCTAGTCTGAGACTATGGAACTGTGGGACAGAGTGACAAATGGACTGCCTTCCTGACCCATGGAGGCAAAAGCCAAGAGATCATGTAGCTGAGAGGCTGACAGACTTAGGTGCTGGCTGAGAAGACCAATGACTACGTCTTTACTGTCTGCCGATCCTGACTTGTGGTAACCCAATGGCTTCTCGAATAATCTGTGAGTTGTGTGTGGTCATTGCAAAGAATCAAGCCCAACATACATGCAGAGTGGTATGAGAAGAGTTGGTGTCAGATTAGGTAAAGACGGATGGAGCATAGAGGCACGGCTGAGCCCTGACTCGGTGCAATAGGTAGCCAGAGAAGGTCAGGTGCAATCTTCCACTGCCGTTTAATGCAGCACCTAACCGAAGCCATGGTATTTCTGATTGCCTTACAAGTGTGCAAAAGCTGGACCATGAATAAGGAAGATCACAAAGGGACTGGTGCATTTGAATTATTGTGTTGGCAGAAAATATTGAAAGTATCACGGACTGCCAAAAGAACAAACAAATCTGTCCTGGAAGTACAGCCAAAATGCTCCTTAGAAACTAGGGTGGTGAGACATACTTTGGACATGTTATCAGAGGAGACCAGCTTGGCAGAGCAGAGGGTCAGTGAAAACGAAGATCCCTCAAGGTGAGGCGCTGGCACAATGGCTACAACAGTGGGCTCAAGCCTAACAATTGAAACGACTATGCGGAACAGACAGGGTTTCGTTCTCCTGTATAAGGGTCTCTATGAGTCAGAACCGACTGGGTGGTACCAAACCAACATAACCCACATTGCAGTCAATTTAAAGAGATTGATAAAGGATATAATCCAATGTGGAGAAAACTACAAGTTTCACTATTTCTCTGTGTAGTAAACAAGTAAGACTTAACATTTAGTTTTAAAAATCTTAAAATAAACACTAAGTAATAAATACATGGAATGTTAATCTTTATCTTCTGAAGTACTTTGTCATTGTTTTTACTATAAAGAAAATCATAACATTTATAATTTATCTAAACTAGATAGTTTTATAAAGTACATATAAGGAAATCAAGAAGAGCACATTATCCCCTCTATTTTTCCACACTTCACATTTTAAAAGCATAAATACTAGTGTTAAAAATTCAGCATCAGAAAATGTGATGTGCAGTCAGTGTACGACAGTTAAGAAGTAACTGGTACCTGAGCCGCTCCGGTTATCATGTTTGGAATGAAATCCTTATGTCCTGGAGCATCCATTAGTGTAATCATTTTGGTTTTGGTCTCAAACTTCATCATACCAACATCCATGGTAACTCCCCTTAAACAAAACATTAAGTGATTAGATTGCTCTTTATACTCAGTATAATAGATCAAATTATTTAATAATAAGAAAGTCTAGATTCTAATGTAACCTCATGTGATCGTGGGAATTTTGTTACACAAACTATTATTTTGGTTAATTAAGCTAGCAATTAATGTTGAAATTTCTGCTGTAATAGAATTACACCCATATGGCTTTGAAATAAGGTGTGGAAACCGTTTAACTGTTAAGGGTAGGTGATAATCACTGTAGGCAGAGAAAAAGATACACTGCAGACGAGGAATGATTACATGAAGAATGACTATCACACAGTTGTCCTCGTTTTCTATGTTTATGTTATATCGACTATAAATGGAAAACTGCCATCTCCAAGGTTAGGCAACATCCCACAATGTTAAAATAAAGGAGGCATCAAAGGAGATGCTCAATGGGGGAAACAAATGAACACAATGACTAGTAGCAGTTTGCCTCACACCCATTTCAGCCTTCTGGGAGGCCCATTCCCGTGCCTCTTCATAGCCACGGAGAAGCCCTAGGAGGATTTTAAAACCAAAAACGACCCAAGACTCCTCACTGCCACAAGTAGACTGCAAGGCACAGCGATCATATAGGGCAGAGCAAAACTACCCCCGTGGGTTTTCAAGGATGTGTTATCGTTACAGGGACAGAATCACCTTTCTTCCTAGCTAGTGGGTTCAAACTACACGCCTTGCAGTTAGCGCTCCACATCATAACCCATTCCTCCTCCAGGGATCCTGGAGTCACTCTAGAGCTCAGGGATTCTGAAGGACACATTAGGTGGACAATAAACTAAGCAATCATGAAGGCCAGTCTGCCTCGAAGAGTCCAGGGTAATGATTAACAAACAACATTCCCTTTTACTACCAAGAGTCCCAATTATAATTAATGTTCTATTAGATGTTCACCCTAGCAGGGAAGAAACTCTGGGTCTACCTAGTCCAGTCATTCTAGCTTCAACTTTAACTCTGGGGATTTGAGTTTGCCAAAGTGATGCTCAATTCTCTTTAATAATTCGTAAATAATCTAGAATCCATGAGAACATCAGAACACTGATGTGCTCACTCAGCCCCACACTGAACTGGTCCTAGACTGCTTTAAGCAGAGTCTACTCTTTTGACTCAGTTCTGGTCTGAATCTGTAAGCCTCGGTATATGAAAATGTCACTTATTTACTCGTTTCTGTTCCTCAGCAATTAAAGACAGAAGCCATGCAAACAACGCTCTGGGATAAACAACACTCGTTCTATTTTTGAAATGCTGTTAAGGATATTTTTGTGTGAGTTCAAATTTCCAGTATGTATCTGGAAGCTCCTGCACTCAAAAGAGCAAAGGAATATTCTAAAAACTGTTATGGTAAGCAATAACAAAGAGTCAACCAGCAGACACACTGTCAAATAAAACTCTAAGGGTAGCTAAGTCTTGGGAATTAGATGGACAGCTCACTATCAGCTTAACAAATTTACTGAGTCAAGTTAAACACATTCTAGCTTATATGATACTGGTCCCAGTTTCTTTACCTACAGACTAGATGATGCCAAAAAATAAGAATAAACAATAACTAAAAAGCAATATATTTTTAAAATTCCTCAAGCTACTAATACTGATAGAGTGATATCATACAGAAGTCCAATCTTTTCCAAAAATTGGCAAGTGTCCAACTAGTTGCTTCACTACACTGGAAAATAAGTTTGGGGTTCTAAAAAGGATGAAAGAGAAAAAACAGATGCCTAAGGGATAAAAGCAAATTTACAAAAATACTATGATACAAATTTCTATTTCTCAGAAGAACTGAGGAATAGTATGGCCTGCTTGACGGAGAACTACCTCATATACGTAGCCAATCCACAACTTTAAGAACACCCCCCCACACACATATGAAGTATGACAATCCAGACACTTTCTTTACTCATAAACAGAATGAAGTTATGCAAGAGCACAGCTGAATCTGTGTATTGATTGAAAAGGATTTTCACCGGACTTTAGAGTCATTATTTTGACACAGCTGAAACAGCTGACATTTCACTTCATTCCTAAAGCATCCTCTGTTCTCATCCAGGTGCCACTGGCTCCCACGCCAGAGAGACCCGCCATCACATATGGACACGGACCCGCTCTGAAGTGATTTCTCTGGTCAGAAATACCTACATAGCTGCATCCTCCTGTCAGAACACGGGGAAAACTGAACACTGAGATAAATACCAGAGTCACTGACTGGGTTAAGTCTATCTGGAAGGGCTCTGTCTCCTAGTCCAAAAAGTAATCAAATGACTTAAATCAAAGTAATCTGGATTTCCTGACCATTTTTATGTCAGACCACTGAGAGTATACCACAAAGTTACCTTTTCTTTATAACCTGACAAAAAGCTAAGAATTTTATTCCTAATATTCAAAATCAAGGCAAATTGGCTTACTTAGGAAAGGAGTGATGGATACTTCTCTAAAAAGGTTCTTAGGACTTTTCTTGTATGTATAACTTTTTATTTTTTAAGTAAACACTCTCTTACACCATTCTCACAGACATTTGAAGTGTAAAACACATAAATAGGGCATTATAATGAAAAATAGAAGATAATTTTCTGTTAATTGAGGTTTTTCCTGGGTTATCATCTCCAAAATATTTTGTGGTTTGTTTTATACATATTCAACACGTGACAAACTTATAAGATTACACATCATTTCAAGCCAAAAATTGTTAAATATAGTGACTACCTTTCCCTTTCTTCGCCAGTCTCATCCAAGACCCATGCATATGCAAACGAAGCTTTGCCAGCCTTTTTAGACTCTTGTTCATACTTATGCATAGTTCTTTTGTTTACATTACCCAGAAGATAAAGCATATGGCCCATCAGAGTACTTTTCCCAGCATCAACATGACCTAAGGAAAATTGATTCAGGATTAATACTAGGTACATTTTCTAGATGTTGACATTGAGGCATTGCATGAATGTTTAATTCATTCGTTTGTCAGTATTAAGAAAGTGATAAACAAGTTTATTTGACTTTCCAAATTTGTTGAAGACATCTAAATGGAGAATAAAAGCCCCAATCTCTTGGGGGGGGGGAGGGAAGAAGGGGGAATTCCCCTGCTTTTTAGAAATTAAAACTGTCAATAAGACATTCCCAAGATATTTACAAAATGAAAATGCCATCCAAAATCAAGTCGAATGGCCTTGCTGGTAACTCGGCAGTATTTCACCCCCAGGAGACCTGACAGGGTGACCAGAGAGCATTATGATGCAATGCCTCCTTGGTTCATGTTCATGATACCCAACAGAAACTCAAGTGGACTGAGTTTCCTTGCTGCCGCAAGCGAGTTGTCAGACCTAGCGCAAAGCTGGCTTGCAATCCAGAGCACCAAAGGGCATTACCAATGACCACTAAGTTGAGGAGCTGCTTCCCCCCTTGCCGGCTCTCCAGTTCTGCTTTCACATCTATCTGCTGCTTCAGTTTGCTAGACCTTTTCACGGGTGTGGGAGTTGAACTCTGCTCTTCGGAAGCCTGCATGGTGTGGGCTGAAGGGACCGATTTAGAAACAGTCTCGAGGACATCAGAAGAAGCAATGCTGGTATCTTCACTGTGAGGTCCTTTTTGAGGTGTGTGGAAACTGTGACCATTTTCCTCCGCAGTAAGTCTACAAAATTAGAGAGGGAGAAATGTCTTAAAATTTTCAAATGAACTCTTAAAATGTTAGAAAGGCAGAGAAGTCTCTTCAAACGCCTTTAGACTCCTAACCAAAAGTGATCACTGATAAGTGGCCTGGGTCTGTTAAGGTGGAAATGATAGCGGGCTACACCCAAACCACACAGGGACGATCCCAGGAGAAAACCGTCTACCAACGAGTGCGATAAGAAAAAATATCCTGTACAATAACGGAAAGTCAAAGGCGAAGCCCACCTCCTTGGGTTTATAATTTTATCACAGCAGATGGCATAAAGAAGATATACTATGAAAACTGGCACCAAATGTGTGCCAAAGAATTATTATTTTTTAAATGTGTTCCCTCCCCGAACCCCCCAATTCATTTATCCAACAGGACAGAGACTTGGGATCTTTATTTTTCTGTGTGTGTAACGACCATTCTTAAAGTAGGCAGCTCTAGATGTCTAGTTTCTCACTACTTTGGGAAGAGAAGCTTCAATTTATTTATTCAATAAATATTAGATTTACAAAAAAAATTCAACTAATACTAACCACTAGATGCTGAGAAGAAACACTAAAAAAAAAAAAAGACACCTCCCACCCTTAGAAGTCTAAATCTAGTGAGAGAAGCAAGACCAGACAGCTCAGTTCATCCTCTGTGACAACGAAGTTTGTTCACTGACCTCTTCGCTGCATGAGTCCACTCTTAGTTCTTCATTTGCTCTTGAACATGCACCTAGTGCCCCTCCATGGAAACCTACACCTAGTCTATCAGACGCCCATATGCCTCTTCCCTTCAATAGTTATGGATAAAGACACTTAAAAAAAAGAGTAAATTAAACTGTACGTTACGAAGAAGAAAGACATTTATATTCAACTCAGTGTGGAGTTGGCAGAGAAGAAGCCTTTTTAAATAATTATTTTAAGATTGAAGAAATGTAAAAGAATACTAATCTACTTTTTTCTCTCCCACTGTAACCAAAAACAGATTAGTAATGTCCCCCTCAGAATCTGTCTGCTCAACTGGTCCTTCGTCCCAGGCTTCCGGAAAGACACTGGTCATTCTTCCTAATTAAAACCTCATATACAGATCTCCAGAATAAATTTAGGCGGGCATTTTTCAAAACTGTGTAAACACATTAGGTCCGCATTGACCTATTTGGTGAAAAATTGCTGTGTGGAAAACGTTCCTGTTCTTTTAAAGAATTTCGCAAGGCTAATTAAGCCAAATCAAGTTTAAACTCACATTTGCACTCATGTATCTGAAATACCTGACAATGTGCATTTTGAGGATTAAGAGAAACTACAACTCAAGTCTTCAACCAGAAGGACTACGCATAGGCTCTGTGAAGATTTGGGTTTGGCCCATGGAACCTTTTCTCCAGTGGAAAACTTAGGTTGACTCCACTGTGGAAAACAGAGAGAAGCAGAGCTGCCCTGGTTAACACAGTGGGCAGGAGACTGGTTCTCCATTCACTCACCAATCCAGGCAGCCTTTATCATTTCAAGCACAATTCAATAATATAAAAGGTTTTCTTGTCTTCATGATAATGTTCCCTTTCAACCAAACCAAGGAGAAAACAAATAGTATGTCTTCCCAGGAGTGGGCATGTTTAGTCATGAAACTAGAGGTTGAGGTGTCCTTCTTGAGTTATTTAATGATACAGGAAAGCTAATTAATTCCATCTTAAGAGGTTAAATGCAGAGTGTATGTTTTCTATGTAGTGGTCGATGAATTTTTACTTTCACACATTTTCTAGAAAGATCTACTATTCTGAATACTAGTGCAGCAAAACTTCGCTGGATTGTAATCATACATCATGTGCATGCTGTTGACATCTCCCTAAGGACTACATCAAAATATTAACTCATTTAGCTGTGTTTGGGGCCTTTGTTAGTTATGACTTTATTTTTCAAACAAAATATATTTCCCCAAAGATACAGGTTAGTAAATATTTAAAGAACTAGATTAGAAGAGGAACACGAAGATGGGCATAAATGGTCCCTTGTCTTCATGAAGCTCTTCATTCACACGTGCCCACAGCCCTCAGGCCGATTCCAACTGAGGGTGACCCTATCGGGCAGGTAAAATTGCCCCTGTGGGTTTCTGGCACTGTCCATGTTAAAGGGAGAAGAAAGCCGCTCTTGTTACTTCCCCATGGAGCGACTGACGGGCAGGTTCGGATTGCTGACCTTGAGGTTAGCAGGCCAACATGTAAGTCATGATGCCATCAGGGCTCTTCAAGAAACATTCAGTCTTATATCCTGAAAAGTTTTATACATTACATGTATAGAGTTGGATTTTCAAGATTCATTTATTTGTATTTCTTTAACACTTATCATATATTATTAGTATTATCCACAAAGTACAATGTATTTATTTTTAATGTACATTATTTTAGACTCATCTGCATGCATTTAATAAGATTACATTAAGCATTTAGATCACATTTAGCATTAAGATCAGAAAATCTTTAGAATAAAGATTCATATATTTTATTTATTTTTCTTTCTCTCAATGGAAATAACCCCATAATAGGATAAAATGGCACAACAAGACAAATGATAAAAATGCCTTGTAAAAAAAAAAAAGTCCTTGTTCTCAGATCTGGGGACCAGGACCATCATCTTGGGGGAAGCCCAGGTCAACTGGCGTAACACAGTCCACAAAGATAATGTTCTACATCCTACTTGGTGAGTAGTGCCTGGAGCCTTACAGACTCGTGAGCCTCCATCTAAGGAGTCATTATTGGTCTCTCCCTGTCTGTAGCAAAAGAGGGATTAAAATCAGTCACATGGAAATAGTCTAGTGGACTGCCGGGCCATGTGAACGTGTCTCTAAAACCTTGAGAACATAAGAATTAGAGGGTGCCAAGTTTCCTCTACCAACTGATCTGAAAGGGATCACCCATCAGAAGGTTTGGGATAGTGGGGAACGGGTGGGGGTGGGGATGTGGAACAGAACTCAAAAGTCTTAACAGAGACCAGGCTAACTAGTTGAATAGAAGCTGCTGGAAGCCCTTAGACCAGGGTCTCAGTCACGTTCCAAGTTGGAAATGAACTTAACCCTGTGGGTCTATTTTCAGCTGAACAACGGACATATATACAAAGGGAACAATAACACCAATGAGGAGCACACTTCAGTAGGCCAACTACTGGAGATCAAGGGGGCTGCATTTACCAAAGGTCAAGTTTGAAGGGTCAGGAGCAAAACAGAAGTGGAGGTGGGACACAGGGAGAAGGTGAAATGAGTGGTGTTATATTGAGGAGACTACAATGAATGTGATAAAGCAAGATGTATGTGAATTGTTGGAAATAGCAAAATGATGATCTGCTCTGTAAGCCTTTATCCAATTCACAATACAATGTTTGTAAAAATAAATCAAATAACAATATACGGTAAGCCTGGAAAAAAATAAACCACCTCATTATGACAAACCAATATTAATCCTGAAAGACACACATTAAGCTTTCTTTGATTGAATAAAGGCTCAAATTAGTACTCAAAATAACCATTGTGAAATGATTTAATCACTTAATGTATTCTAAAAATTTCTATGTTCTAGATATAGAGTCTGCTGCCTCATCAAATTTGAAATCTAGTGGCTAATCTTCCTTCTATAAAATCTCAAAGCTGAACTGAGTGATCATTAGTTCTTCCTGACTCCTGGCACTTCCACTCATTTAGATAGAGAGCAATGTTGTAAGGGAGAAAAAGCAAGACTGCTACTTTATACTTCATAGAATTATTTAAAAAACAAACAAACAAAAGCTCCATTGTCTACATTTGACAATCATGTTCCTGCTCTGTCTTGCTGGCAGACAAATATATAGACAATTTATGGGAACAAATTTATAGAGCATTTTGAAAATGTTTAAAGAAGTTAAAACTTAATGCTTTCAATTGTGCTCTTCAGCCTCAAGCAACCCATTTATATTTGTCTAATAAAAACTCACTGAATAAGGAAGACTGAAAGAGAACCAATGCATTTGAATTATGGCACTGGCAAAGAATACTAAAAGTACTATGGACTGCTAAAAGGACAAACCAATCTGTACTGAAAGAAAAAGGCCAGGGTGCTCCTTAGAGGCAAGGATGGTGAGCCTGTCTGACATACTTTGGACATGTTGTCAGAAGAGACCAGTCCCTGCAGAAAGACAACATGCTTGGCAAAGTGGAGGGGCATCAACAAAGAGGAAGGCCCTTAAGGAAATGGACTGACACAGTGGCTGCAACAATGGGCTTAAGCACAGAAATGATTGAGGATGGAGCAGGACCGGGCAGTGTTTCGTCCTGTTGTACATAGGGTTGCTATAGGTTAGAACTGACTTGAAGAAACTTAACAATACCATTATACACACTTGGAAAATTTGGGAGTAGTACAATAAGAAAGATAATTATTACTAATGTACATCTTATCATTTTTCATTAGATGTTTGAAATTCTGAAATTCTATATAGGTTCATTTGATCCTTAACAACAAACCATTTAATTCAATAAGAGAAATTCTAAAGATAGCCTTTTGTTTCCTTTTTTCTTTTAAATCATTTTATTGGTGGCTTGTACAATGCTTCTCACAATCCATACATACATCCATTGTGTCCAGCCATCATCACCCTCAAAACATTTGCTTTCTACTTGAGCCCTTGGTATCAGCTCATTTTCCCCCTCCCTCCCTACTCACCCCTCCCTCATGAACCCTTGATGATTTATACATTATTATTGTTTTGTCATATCTTACACTACCCGACATCTCCCTTCACCCACTTTTCTGTTGTCCATCCCCCAGAGGAGGTTATAAGTAGATCCTTGTAATCGGTTCCCCCTCTCTACCCCACCTTCGCTCCACCCTCCCGGTATCGCCACTCTTGCCACAAGTCCCAAGGGATTTATCTGTCCTGGATTCCCTGTGTTTCCAGTTCCTATCTGTACCAGTGTACATCCTCTGGTCTAGCCGGATTTTTGAGGTAGAAATAGGATCATTATAGTTGGGGGGGGGGGGTTATTTAAGAACTAGAAGAAAGTTGTATGTTTCATGGTTGCTACGCTGCACCCTGACTGGCTTATCTCCCTGCGACCCTTCTGTAAGATGTCCAGTTGCCCACAGATGGGCTTTGGATCTCTACTCTGCATTCCCCCTCCTTCACAATGATAGGATTTTTTTCCCCCTTTGGTTGCTTCTGAGCTAGATGGCCGCTTGTTTACCTTCAAGCATTTAGGATCCCAGAATCTATATCTTTTGATAACCAGGCACCATCAGCTTTCTCCACCACACTTGCTTATGCACCCATTTGTCTTCAGCGATCGTATTGGGAAGGTAAGCACACAATGATCTGATTTTTTTCTTCTTTGATGCCTGAAACCTGATCCCTTTCATACCTCGTGATCACACAGGCTGATGTGCTTCTGCCATGTGGGCTTGGTTGCTTCTGAGCTAGATGGCCACTTGTTTACCTTCAAGCATTTAAGACCCCAGACACTATATCTTTTGATAGCCGGGCACTATCAGCTTTCTTCACCACATTTGCTTATGCACCCTTTTGTCCAGCGATCGTGTCGTGAAGGTGAACATCATGGAATGCCAGTTTAACAGAACAAAGTATTCTTGCATTGAGGGAGTACTTGAGTGGAGGTTCAATGTCCATCTGCTACCTTAATATTAATTTATGAATAGCTTTTAAGTAGTAAAAACAATTTTTAATAACCCCAACAGTAATATCCCATAACTAACACAATTACCTCACACTGCTTACCTACGCCACCTAATGGCAAAAGGATTTAGTGCTTCAATTCATTAAATGCTATTTGTTCTTTAGGCAATTTAATCCGTGAGAATGATATACATTGTTGATAAAATTAGCATTTGGCGTATTTTCTGTATCCCCCGCCACCTCTTTTGCTCTTTGGACTATGTCAGGTTGAGGACACAGGATACTTTAATGCTAATGATACACTGTGCTAAATTGAAACAGATTCTCTTTCTTACAAGCCAACCTAAAATAATGTTAGTTTCAAAACTTCAAAGCTTTAAAATCTTACCCAGGCACTTCAAATCCCATAGTCTGCTTCTTTCCAGAGACAGTCATTTTAGCAACTTTTGGCACAATTTCTGAATCACTTCTAGATGACTGGGAATCTACTGATTTTCCTAGTTAGGAAGTAAAATATAAACAGCTTATTAGTAATAGTGAATTAATAAAACCTAATAATTACATACTGCATGCAAGCATAGATTACAAGAGTTAAATACCACAGAGTGTATGTCTTTCTAAAAACATTTAGCAAAACAGTACAATGTTGTAAGAAAGTCTTCTATCACCCCATTCTGGGAAATCCCCTCTTGTCTGGACTCTCCTATGCTTCACCTCCACTAAATCTCTTCCTAATTTTGAAATGACTGTTAGGGTTTCAGTATTAAGAGGTCATAAGGTGGTTTCTGCACCGAGCCTTATTCTGACATTACACCTTGAGCTATACCACCCTCTCATACCACGCCCTTTCACAATACTAAAATTATTTGGTCAGTTAGCAGATGGCTCAACTATTTTTAATCCTGTGATACCTACACACTGATGAGCAATTTGAGAGTCTGCTGAAATGAGCTAGAACAATGCATATAAATTTACTTGTTAAACCATCTTATACGTAGAAAGATATCTGTATCTTGAAAGAATATTGGGAAAGAAGCCAATGTGAGGAAAGCGAATTCAGAACACTTAGGAGTGGTCAATTACCATGTTGTTCAGAGTAAGACTTCTATGCATTTGATCCTTTAAAAACATATGCACACACATATGTTATATATACTTGAGGGGACCAGGCTCTTGCAATCTGATCACCCCAAAAGATGGACCTTAGTAAAGTGGGGGAACAAAGGAGCAGAACGCAAATTGTCAAAAAGCCCAGATGCACAGGATGTGTTGAGACTAGAAGGCTCCCTGAGACTAACACCCTGAGAAACGTATTAAACCTGGAACCCAAATTATGCTGATGTTAGCTTTCAGTGACGTAAGGGATCGGCACACAAAATAAGGTCTGGTACCTGTGTGTCCAGTACTCCATTAAAAAACTGTCTAGATGGGTAAGATGAAAAGGTCAGCATTTTTTCAAAAGATTAGAAATGGTGCAGGAAAACTAGAATGCTGGAATGGAATAAGAACACAACATTGGCACATAGTTAAAAATGTACCTAATGTCACTGGAAAACTTGTGGAAAAATTGTCAAATTGGGAACCAACCCAACTTGCTATGTAAATTTCCACCAGAAAAATAAAATGTTGTCAGAATGTTTACTCTGGTGCCTATTTGTCATGGCCAAAGACAAATGGTAAATTTGCAACTCTTGAAGATTACATCATATATCTAGAGAATAAAGTGTCATGGTACAAATACAGAAGCAGTTAAGTCTACATGTGTGAACAGATAATCATGGAAAAAGCAATCACAATATGATAGATAACTCTTGTCTAGAAGGGTGTTGAACGAAGGGGATATGGAGAGATCAGAGAGAACCCTCAGACACTGCCAGTGGGACTGCAAATATGTACAATGGCTGAGGAAAGCAACATGGGGCTGCCTCAAGCAACGGGGTTTAGAAATTCCACACAACAGAGCAATCCCTCTGCTGAGAAGATACCCTAAAGAATGCAGAGTCAGAGCACTCTGGGGCCTACTTGCAGTGGCAGAGATATGCACACCCAAGTTCATCGCAGCCCTGTTCACAAGAGCAAACAAATTGAAGCAGCCTAGGCCCATCAGTATTAGAATGGCTAAAAAACTTTCGTCAGTGGATTGATGTTGCTGTTTTGTTGTATTGTTGCTTGGTTTTGCTCTGTCTTGTTTTTATGCATGTTGTTGTCTCCGCAGGCCTGTCAGGATAGGTCAGGCTGGATGAACAATCTGGAGGAGAAAACAACGGGACTGACAGTTCCGGGGGG